TCGCGAAATTGGATAATCATCGGGGACGCGTAAATGGCATGGCCTGGGCACCACATTCTTCATGTCATATTTGTACAGCAGGTAAGTTATATTACCAATTCTATTAGGAATTTAAAGTTTGAATTTGAAATCCCTATCTTAATTGAAACTTATTCATTCATTCTTATGTTTGTAACTTATTTGCTTTTTCCGTTAACTTTCATTTAGGTGGTGACAGTCAGGCATTAATTTGGGATATTCATACGATGCCTCGACCTGTTGACGATCCTATTTTGGCTTATCAAGCTAACGGCGAGGTAAAACACGTGGTTCATAAAATCAAATTGACAATACATATGGGGGATAACAAGAAAGTTATATTAACTCACACATAACAAACAAAAATAAAAGAGCGCGTGCATTATTTAATAGCTTTCTAGACATTCTATATATCATTCCCGAAAACCTCCCAAAAGAACATAGTCTGCAAGCCATATTTTCCTCAACCGTAATAAGGAAGAATGAAAATATTTTCTTTGTGAAAAATATTTTTTAAAAAAAGATTTCCCACAGATCATACTCGAATTATTGTATATGTTTTTATTGTATTTTTTAGATGTTTAAAAAGTCAAAAAATTTCAGATTAATCAGGTGCACTGGTCGACTGCCTTTCCAGACTGGATATCAATTTGTTATAAAAACATGCTAGAAATATTGCGAGTGTAAATAGGTTTGGTTGTACAATAACACAATTGTTTCTTTGTAATTGTTTTTCAGTCTATAAATTTCCTACAAAATGAAGTCAGTATTGATTTAAGTCACTCCAACGAGAAAGAATCTAAAAGTTGCTCCCGGATACGGTTTAAAAGTTCCTAGAAGTTGTACTTGATTACTGCTACCAATTTCCTAATGTATTTTCTCATATGAGGACCTGGGAAGAAGTTTGTAATAGCTGTTGTAAAATGTAATAGTTTTAATTTCTTATTGGTTGTTTAAATTTAAGTTTCCCTCATCGAGTTTTTGGATGTGGTTAGTTCTCGAAACTGCGGTGCTAATGAAATTTTGATTCAAAGTGAACAATTGATGAAGCAGCTTATATCGGAATACATGTTTCTAATTGTTATAATTGGAAAGTTTGCTTTATAGAACAATGTTTAATGTTTGTTTTAATTTTTTACTTTTTGGCAGTTATGGGTTATATTTTATGTAAATGTTCTTCCTTCGTCGCATCTCACTCTGAAATAAATAGCACTAAATTATTTGTAACACGGCGAAATTTTAAGGAATATTCAAATCTTTCTGGTGCAAGTTCCATTTCAGAATATCACCTTCCTTCAACAAACTCAAAAGTCATTATGATATCTCACAAGTAAAATAAACGTAAAATAAACCTGTAATAATTTGAATTTAAATTGCTTTGTTTCAGGTGAACAAAATACATAGTCAAATGCGAGTCGGTCATTTTGAACTAATTGTTCGACAAATTTATCCATCTTCTGTAAAAAATAGAAATCGTGAATCCATAAACATTTCTTATTTGAAAATATTGTTATCAGCTAGCACTTAAATAGAGATATAATATCACGGAATAGATTTATTGATTAACTGTTTCATTGTATGCTTGAAGTTTTGACTAAAATTGTGTTATATTGATGTCATCACCTTAACGGTAACTGCAATATCGCATTTTTGTTTCGGTGGTAAAATTCCGCATGGTGGCGTTGCAAAAACGCGGGGTATAGCATTGCTTTTAATAGCATATGCAATATGTTTCGTTGACGTATTACGTATACGTATAAGATATGTTAAATTATCGAAATCATAAGGAGCATTAAAAATCTGAAAATGATTTATGGCATTAAGGAGATCACTTTTTGTGATTTATAAAGCTTAAAATCGTTTAAAGCATTTCCCAGTTGTTTCTTGATAATTGGTTTCCGAACTGAAATTAAAAATGATAGGAAATTATTTACTGAAATTGACTTAAGCCAACCAAATATTTTGATGGTTCAAATGCTAAATCATGTGGGCTGTAATTTATGCTTAAACCCTCCGCACTTGTGCCCTCTTGATCTTGGATTCTGAACTCGGTGTTAAATAACATTGGATTCTTGTCTTCTGGAACTGAAAAAATTAGCTTCCGAGTTGAGTTTCAATTTCTTACCTTTGGCTTTTATATGAATCCATAGTTATTGCAAGAAACATAGAATCTATGCTTGCAATATATAGAATTTTATCTGTAGTAATAATTATGTTTTCAAAGAATACTGATCAAATTCAAAAACAAGAGAACACATAATTATAATACCGCTATCATACGATGAAGAGTAATCACTCCGTAGCGCATAAGGTGATGCACTGTTTAATTTCATCGTCTGAAAAGGCATATAAGTTTAGACCTAACAACAGATTATCATGCATAGTTATAATTTTCGGACAGTTGTAAAAACATTATAAACAGAAATTTTTTAATAATTTAGCCAAACAGCTGACTGATTTATTAGTTGAAAAATCATAGGTTAGTTGTCTCTTTTAGTAGATTATGGCATGTTTCAGCTTGTTTATATTTAAATGTTTAAATCGACCTATGCTCTATTTTTAACATCAAATATCTATCATAAGGCTCTTTTGTGATAGAAATACAATGATTTATAACTGAAATGAAACGATCAGATTTGGCATCGATTTCTTATAATTAAATTTTTTATGTTATGCTCCTCTAACACAAGTTTTATAAAAGTTACTTCGGGTGTTCCGGGTGATAATGATCGCCTATCCTTACTTCTGTGCAACATTTCAGATAATTCTTCTTTGGTAAATGGAATTATACCTCGCTGTAAATTTTGGTTTTTTGAAAATTTAGTAACATTTCAATTTATTTTTTCTTTAATTTTATGTATGCAGTCTTTTCACACATAGAAATATAAGGAAAAAGCAAACAATCGAGTGGGGAAAAAATCATATGTCAGAGTAACTGGGAATTATGGAAGTATTCTTGCCTAAACGCTGCCGAATAAGCAATAAAAATGTTCCAAATGTGATGTCAAATAATCCCAATTAAGCACTAAATAAAATATAACTGAAAACAGAGTTTTAGAAGAAAAAATTGTAGAATAAAATGTGAGGTTGAAAGCAATTTTTTAAAGTAAGTGTCAAATGTCAAACCTTATCTTTAACTTCATCGCCATGAGCTAGTCGAATGTGCCAAAGAATTCGATCAGCGCCATCGAATGGATGCAAAAAAAGAAGTGCAAGCAGAACTACTTTGATAAAGTAGTAGCCACTTTCTGATTCAAAATTAGAATCTAATAAGGTTAATAGGCCAAATGCACTCCTGCAAACTTTTTCATCACGTTAGACAACTAAAAAATAAGTTGGACTTTTAATTGATGAGAAGGAAATTGTTTTAATATTCATTTAAAAATTTTTACAGTAACAGACTGTTACATAACAACTTATTGTTTAATATAATCAAATCTCGACTAAAGCATGATGATAAGGATTTAATCTGATTTGATTAATCAATTATATTTAAAATATTGGCGAATAGGGAATACATGAAGAGGACGATTAGTACTGAGAGCTATGTATGGCATCTTCTTCAGTCTTTCTCAAGAACTTTCAAAACTTCGATCTTGTAAGCAAGCTATAAAGACGAAACATTGAACAACAGATAATTAATTGATTGTACCAGTATATAAGAAGTTGCGGTGTAGGCGGTTTTTCGGCAGGAAAAACGTAAGTAAGTAAGATTGGCGTCACCGTAAGGATAGCATTTGCCAATATTTGAGCATCTTCTCCTACCATTAAATATACGGATGTGATGACACAAATGAAAATTGCCAAACTGAACTCGTCCAAACCCGTTTGTTCACGTAAAAGTCGTAATCCTCGACCTGTCATATGTTTCTGAAACTTTAATTAGGAATGCAAAATTTCCAAAATTTTACTTTTGTATTTATAATTTTGAGTTTTTTAATCTATGAATTGCAACATAAATGAAATGGCACTTTATGTTCAGAATTCACAGTCACGCTGATTATTATAGTTATTTTACCATCAGTTAACATCAGAGAGGATGGCTCTAAATTAGCTAAGCAGCATATAAACATTCGCATATTATATAAGCAGACAATACTTGACTTAATCAATGCATTTTGATTTGATCGATAATCAGTCGTAACCTGATCAAAAACAAGTGATCGTAAATGATTGTGTAATTCGTCTGTGTCATCTGCATCCGTCATCTGAGTAAACAAAAGTGACAATGAGATAAGAAACACTTCATCCTATTTTTAAGTCTTTCATATCATTGGAGGGTTGCATACAACTAAATATAATTTCGTAATTATCCGATTTTTTTTTAATAAAGTAGCTCCTTTTAATGTGACAGTTATTTTATCTGCCACATTTTGTGCTTCCAAAATGTCGTGAAATTTTAACTTAAATTTCTGTATCACTTGGTTTTAAAGAAGAACGCGCAAAATTTAATTTTAAAACATTAAATTTCAGAATATATTGAATAGATAGCAGTTACATCAGAATGAAAAAATCGTTATTAGTTGAAGTTGCATGATAATGAATAAAGAGAAATGTTTTTGACGTTTTGATATCATTTTAAAACATAAACATTTCCAGCATACGATGACAAGCTTTTTTCTGCTGATAAAAAGGGATCGATGATAGGCTATCATTTCAGATGCTTTCATTTCAAATGAAATCAGAATAATTAATTTAACATACAAATATATAACATGAAGCATAAAACAACTGTCTTCTAATTGTCTCATTGTGATTTGTTGGGCTGAAACAGATAATTGTTTGCTAGGCTCGGTTTTAAGCTCTCATTGCAGTTTGCTAGCTATAACTTTAATCATGACACTAATAAGAAAAGCAGTCAAATTGCTTGCACTAAGCACAATTTTGCTTGCATACTTCTGCACCATCAACCTTTTAAATCGGTAATACCAATAGATAATTAAGGCCAGATTTATCGAAAGTTTAGTCTCATTCAGTTCGTCTCAATTGAGCCTATTTTGTAAGTCTAATACTCTGATACTCTGAATTCCAATTTCAAGTCTCAAAATTCATCTCGATTCTCTCAATCTGCTTTTAACACTGTAGTGAGTCCCAATTTCTACTTTGTTGAAACTCTCTGACTTGCAAACATAATTCCTATAAAATTTGAATCCAATTGGAAATCTAAAGCAGACTAACCTCTCCAGTTTGCATATTTTTTATTATGACGACAGTTTTCCCAGTTGCAACCCACCTGATGACACTGGCTAACTTTTTTGCCTCAGCAGTATTTTGAGAAATTTCCTTTTCAGAATCCTCATTTCTTTCGAGACTAATACTTGCACTGGAAGTGAGCAGAGATTGCTTCTTATCAGTATTAATTATTTTTTTTGTATGATTAATTTGGGTTTTTGCTTCTGTTACTGCATCAGACTTTTTCCAAGAAGAAAGTTGAGACTTCGCGGGAGAAGGTTTTTGTACCATCGTTTCAGTCTCAGATATTGAAACAGCTTTGCTGTTATGCAAGATTTGATGTTCTTTTTCAGAAATCTTAATAAACTTTGCAGAGGCATCAGGAACTTTTGATTTGCCTGCAGGAAGGATGTGCGATTCTACCACAGAAATTGTCCCTAAATCATGTTCTGAAACAAATTGAGGTTTCTTAGTCTCTTTACTTGAGATATTTTGAGATTGCTTAATAGAAACAGGTGTGGAAATTGTCAAAGGTGTAAGTGGAACTTCGTTTGTGGTGACATTTTGAGGCTTTCTCATAGAAATATTCTGATGTTCCTGCAAAAGAACAAATTGAGATTTCACATTAAAGGAATTTCATTCCCTTTATTCGCATTGATTATAAATTGAGCAGTGAAGTAATTTGAGATCCATTTGCAAAATTTTCTCAGTAAATGACCTTAACTTTTCTCTCGACAATGGTTTGTCTTTAACAAAAGAATTTCAACCTTTTTATTCAAATTTAGACTAACCTTAAATTTCCTTTCAGTAGGAATTTCCAACCGGTCTGAATCCTTGACACAGACAGTATGAATTTTTTTATCCGAGCCAGAACTTATCTTATATTCACTTATCGTAAAGTTCTTAGATTCTTTCAATGGAATGATTTGATTCCGCTTTACAGGAACTGTCGAAAATTCAGTCGCCAAAATAGTCGGCAATTCCCCAGTTTTTTTTTTATTATGAATAATCTTAAAATATGTAGTTTTAGGTTTTCTCAATGAAGGATGCTCAGTTTTCCGGATGACAGTATTCTGAGATTCATTTTGTCTTTCTTGCACAGTTTTTTCATACTTATATTTTGTTCTTTAGAACAACTGGATTCAAGTTTCCTTGCACAAAATGTTTGTGGTTCCTTCCCAAAACTTGTCATATCTTGTCCTATAGAAGCAGACTGAAAACTTTTCATTGGTGTAACTTGAGATATCTCTTCATAAGTCATCATTAGTTTATTTGAAGGTAACACCTGAGATTTCGTTTCAGAAGCAGTCGGAAGCTCTTGTCCAGAGATAATTTCAGGCTTCAAAATAGAAGTATTTAGAAATTTCCTTCCTTGAAATAGTTGCGATTTTCTCGGTGGTTGACTGATTTGACAATGCTTCTCTATATTTAAGTTGGATTTCTGAAGTAAAATAGTTGGAGATTCTTTTATAAAAACATTTGGTTTGCTTTCAGGAACAATCAAAGATTCCCTTATTGGAGTAGTTTGAAGTCCATCATCAGTATAAATGGAATTTTCCGTTCTCGAATCCAGCTGTGGAACAAGCGGAGGAACTCGTTCTGAAATTTGATTCCTTTGAGTTGCTGCAAGCAAAGATTTTTCTACAAAATATTTTTTCTTTTTTTCTTTTCTTTTTTAATTTTGGTAGTGGAAATTTCGTTTTTCGTCAGTAAAGTGGAGGGATTAATTGGAGTCACCGTATCAACTTGAGATTTCTTAGCAGTTCGAGATTATGTTAACAAATAACTTCATATTTTCACAGGATACTTAGCAGGTGAAAACTGGAGTTCTTTACCTGAAGATCGTTGATCAGATATATCTTTTTCACTTAAAGTATTATTTTTGGCAGCCATTATTTCTTCCTGATGATTGTCTACATTTTTCTAAAACGAAATTCTTAAAAATAATTAAATTTACAACTACTAGATTGCACTCAAATTTATATTTAGCTTTCTACTTTAAATATAAGTAGAAAACCAAATATTCATTAGGATGACTAATGTTCTAACCAAGTATTGCTATAAAATCAAATGAACTTAATACAGGAATGAAGTAAATGCTGTACCAAACTATCGGCTGAAAGCAAAGGACATTGTCGCCCTGAATTTGAAATTCTGCAAGATGCAGGCCACAAAAGCCACAAAAGATATTAGCCCAGTATATAAGTACTAACACCTTGCTTTAATTCAATATTTTCAGCTTTTCTGGGAAATGTTATTAGTAGTACCAGCATAAGCATTTTCATCCAATAATAACTTCCTTTGTCTTCTAATTTCGGATCCAAAAACAATGTTGCAATAACGTATATAGACCTAAACATAAATGTATTTATTTATTTTCTCAACGAAAAACTTAAAAAACAACAAGTATCTGAGAAATAAAACACAACTTTAAACTACAAGAAAATTAAAAATGGATCCATAAAACACAAATTTTGCAAAGGTGAAGAGATAACGAGGAGATATTAATTAAAGGGAATTCTCTGGGTAACGCCAAGGAAACAATAAGTTGTTTTATTTCTTAATCATTTGAATATCTTAAGTTTAGAGAACCAAAGGCTACAAAGGAAGTGCCGCCTTTATCGATTGCACCAAGTATGAATTGTATACTGATATCATCGATTGTCTGCTCACCAATAACATAAAAGATTATCGAGCGGTGGCTTCTCTTCCGGATAAACATAGGTGAGCAGGATCGGTACGGCAGTAAGGATTGCATTGGCAACAAATCGAGCATAATCACCGATAACGAGATAAATCGAGATGCCGGAGGTGATGAAGATCGCTAAATAGCATTCATCTGCTCCCGATTTCTCATGCAAATATCGTAATCCTCTTGCAGACATATGCCACTAGAAATGTTGAAAGATTATTCAGATTCATTTTCAGATTCTGATATGTCTTGTGGACATGCCGTTCCAACCGATGATGTCGTTAAAAGATGCCAAATACCAACAATGTAGAAAATAGCCGAATATTTTTGAAAAAATTTAATTTCAAGAATCACTCGTTCAACTTTATTTTCAATTTAGTCATGCGAAATTACAAGTCACTTAAGCATTCAATGCAGTAGTTTTGAATTTATTGAAATAAAGTCATAAGATATTCAGCCAAATATGTGGTTCTCATAAGTTAAATTCCCTCCAACTCTGGTCTTTTGAATGTGTTTATAGGCCAGTTGAATAGCTATCATGAAGCTGAAATGCCTTTAGCAAAGACCTGATCATAAACAAGTGCATAAAAATGATTTTGCAGTTTTTGCGCAGAGTATTGCATCAGTGCAAGCGGCATTAAATTTATGTAAAATGATCACTAAATTAATTGCAAATTAAGCATATATTATATTAAAATCTTTATATCCATATTAGATATTCAAATTAGCAAAAGTATTTTGCAAAGTATGTGCAGTTGCATTCTCGGCGAGTCAGACAGACACAAAAAATATTCGTTATACTGTTTGAGAGTAATCAAAACAAAATTTTCATGATCGGTGCAAAATAGAATATCATTGGAAATGTGTCAAAAAGTTTGAAATTTAGGAAACAAACTTTTTTTTTGCTTTTGTAATATCATAAATTGTTTAAATGATACTAATCCCTTGTTGTATACTAATCGCGCTGGCCCAGTGGTACATTGAGATAACACATTCAATCTAAATAATTGATCAAATAGCAAGCATAGCTAGTGGATGTATTTACCTGAGAATAAAGCACAGAGATAAGAAAATGGGCCAAGAAATGAAAGGCTTCACAAAAAATTTTAAAACAAAAAAAATTTTTTTGATTATCTTAAAGCAAAGTTAATGATTGATAGATTATTACATTAGGAATAAAATAAGGATAATAATTTCTAAGCCAAACACTTGAACTTCATAGTAGAAAGGACTTCAATTTTTGAAAAAGTACTAGTAAGATAGATAGCAAGTTATATGCAAATACCCAATTTAAGAGATTTTTCAGATTTATGAATGAGGTGGAATATCAAAGTTGGTTTTCCTAAAATTCTTGGATTGCTTATAACTGGCAATGCCTCTTCGCTAAATTAATGCTTCTTCGTTCTAAATCGTAAACTTTTCGACATCGTTGCTAAACCAGAATTATGTCGAGCTGTAACACATACTATGTACCTAAAAACGAAAAACTACAAATTAAACAAATGATATAATTATTAGAATTTTCACGACTTTCTTTATTTCAATTTTCCAACACTATTTTACATAATAATTAATATTCAAATTTTTTGATCCAAAAAACAGTTATTATAATTATGATCGCAATGATAATCTCACTGTCAGGATACTATATTTAGTTTTGCATTTTTCACTACTTCCTAAATTTTTTTCATATCATTGTAGAAATTGATCACATTCAATTCACTTGTTTCATTCATAAAATTCTTGCTCGCATTTTAATTATTATATAAGCATAAAGTAAATTATTGAGCTTATCTGGTATTTGGTAAAAGTTCGGTTACTGTAAAGCATTTGTTGTCGCCACAGTCATAAGACTGCCAAGAAGGGAATTGTGGTGCCGGATCTTGGCTGAGGAGAAGTACGTAACTCTAAATGAATTTGTTACGACAAAATAAACATAATTTGACTATTTATGTTCTGTGTATCAGTCGGTGCTTACGCATCTATTTTATGTTAATTAAAGGACAAAGAAAATAACTTTAATGAGCAAATTTGACCCAATTTTCGAGAAATATTTTAATGAGCATTTGCTCATTAAGCCAGTTGTAAATCCTTAGGAAATAAGTCAAAGTAATTTTTAGTTTGGATTCACAATGTTCATTTTCCTTTCTTTATAGCTATCATTAGAAAAAGAAATTTATAAATCGCTAAAAGATGAGCGAAATATCTTGAAGAATTGAATTAATGTCGTTTTGAATAATAAAAACTAAAATTTCTAATTAACAATCTTACTTCAGGAGCAATATTTTTATGTGGGGCGTCCCAAACAAATGTCGCCGTTTCACAGCTTAATGCTTCCAGTGATAGAGACTGTGGAACGGTGCACGGTTCTAAAAACTTTGAAGTAATTTTTTTTTTAAATCAACTTTTAGAAATTAAGATAGACAAATAAGTAGATTGATGATTTTCATAATATCTTTTAAATTATACAATGCAATGGTACTAAACAAATATAAGCCACTCAATTTTTCTGTAACAGTTAATAGATATTGAAAATAGTTTTGAATTAAACATAAAGAAAGGTAAGAAAAAAAAATTCTGAAATGCACCAGTATATTCATAGCATCTGATCGGTTTGCTGCTTCCGAATGTAGTTGTTGTCGCAACCGAAAATACATAGAGGGTGAAGGAACGTAAACCAGTAACAACATAGTGTTCGTCGCTGATAAATTCAATTACTGTTGCTGGACTATTTCGAGTTCGAGGTGTTCTAAATTGATCAAATTATAAATCATTTTCAAAATACAAATAATAACAGAGCATTGAGTGGTACCGAAATAGAATAAGTAAAATTGCAATAGTTATTAAGACAAATAAGGAGAATGAATATTAACCTTATTTGATAAGCAATCGTATACCAGAAACATTTTCCTTCGTGATTATGTGTTGGAGGGTCCCATGTAAGCACTACAGAATCTGCTGTTGAGTCAATTGCTCTTAAATTTCGTGGAGGATAAGGAGGACCTAAAATAATGTAAAGTAGTTGAAGAATAAAGGCAAGAAGCAAATTATTAGCCAAACTCCATCAAACTCAATCTGCTGGAATAAGATGCATTCATTTGCAAATATTCACATCATCTCTTCCATCTTATTACTTCATTGATCAAACTAAACAAATTTAACTAAAAAGTAAGCTAGTAAGGAATTGTAAGCTTTTAACAAAGCTTTCTCAAAAATGTGCTGTTATACCAATTTAACCATTTTAATTGGTTCACTGTTTTACTACCAGTGAAAGAGTTTAATCTAATATCAGTAAATTTATCAGAACATACTCATTAGCAAAGCGTTCCTCATATCGGTTCGATTTTGTTGTAAACGGAAATCTACAAATATTTCTTTTGTTAATATTACTGCAATAGCAATGAAAGTAATTCCAAATGCAAATGAGTGCAATTTGTAGGTCACAACATACGTAAAAGTAGCAATGTCTTTTTTTCCTTTTTCATTGAAACATTTTCATCAAAACATATTGGAATGGAAAGTAATGGTAGCGTTAGTCTTTAATAACAAATTTCAGGTAACTCTTTCGGAAAATTTTTACCGATTTCCATATGTTGTAGAGCAGCGACGGTTTCGAATAATTTACGCATCGCTTCACGTTTCATTGCGATCAGACGTTGTTGTTTCACTTTTTTGAGCCATTCAAGCGAATCATGCTATTAATTTATATGTTAGCATTTTATTAAACTTCATGTATAAAGAAGTCGATACTGTCTCAATGATATAGAATACTCGAAATTTAATCTTTTTTTGACCTTAATAACTGATTTAGACATCTGTAAAGCAAAACTGTATCATAAAAAAATAGACTAGGAGAAAGAGAGATACCTCAAGGTCAAAATTACGTCCAAAGAAATGTAATCGATCTATGTAATAGGTGCCCACTACATCAATAAATGATGTAGCTAGGATCAATCCAAATAAAACAATCAATAATGTGAGCAATATGAATGACTGGTTTCGAGGTACTAAATCTGAAATAGTTTGCAATGTTTGCAAGAAATTCGATTTGTTGATCTTCAAATTTTGATTTCAATGAAATAGTTGAAGTCAGCCCGTTAATCAGTTGATCGAATTAATATGCACATCCATTGTGTGAAGATAATAAAATGATTTAAATCAAAATCTCTACTTAGCAATGTGCTAAGTCCTTTTCAACCTGAAGCAAGATGTGATACCTCCGAAACCAATGGTAAGCATGGAGACTATAATAAAATAAAGACCATCATAAATGTTCCACCCTTCGATCCATGAAATGAGGTAGCTTGCAGCGATCACATATGCAAATAATAAAATATAAATTACAACAAAAGGTACTTCGACAAAATGCGCATTTTCCAGATGAGCCCATAAAAATTCTGCTACCTGTAAAGAAATATCGATTTTATATCAGTGAAATTTTCAGAGTATTGTATTGTGTTATAGTAAATGATGAAAAAAAAAATTGTTTCATAACTAATTAGCATTATGTTGTCTGACATTTTTCCCGAAATATAATTGTCTAAACTAAGAGGATTGCTTTTTATCTTAAGATACTTCATCTTCGCCACCGGAAACAATAATTTCATCGACTGGCACTTCGAAACGACTTTTAAGTTTACGACTTGTAATAACTTTATACTTCAGCACTTCTGCATATGACCGATTGATAAATTCAGTAAAAAATTTGGCCTGAAAGTAATCAACTAATATCTCGGATCTTTTCTGCAATTAACATATTTAGTTTTTGACAATTTAATCTTTGTTTCTTAACAACTTCTGATGGTTAACGATGACCAGAATAACAAAAAATATTACATCTTAACTAATCATGTTTAACTAAAACGAAAAATCACATCCTACTTTAATTCATACTTAAGCAAAGAGATACTTACTAAGTCAGTAAGTGTAATGAGAAACAATGGAATACCAATAAACAAATAGACAATGATAAACAAACGGGCAAAATGTGAGTCCGAAACATTGCTGCCATACCCTAAAAATAACCATTATGTTTGAGAAAATAATGGACTCCGAAATAAGACTTTTTATTTCTTACTCGACATATCTCAAAAGTAAATTTGAATTCTTCAATTTTAAATTTTTTAAAAAACACTCATAAGATTAGTTTAAAATATTTGTAAAATATGGTATATTAAGAAAAACATACCTATG